CCTGTGTCCGTACATGATGCCCCCCCGCTTGATGGAGAAGACGATGGCGGAGGAGACGTAGGACTGGAAGGCGTTGGTTGTGGCAAAGTCGAAGGAGGCGGAGGCGGCGTGGGGCGTGTCCTGGCGCTCGATGCGCGTCTGCGCCGCCACCATGGCCGCCACGTCCATGTGCGCGCCAAAGGGGCGCCGCTCCCAGTCCTTGGGCCGGAACACGGGCTCCACCTGGCGCTCAAAGTGGTAGAGCAGGAAGACCTGCGGCAGCGGCGGTGCTGCGTGTGCTGTGGGCGTGCTGCGTGTGCTGGGGGATGTGTGTAGGGTCCTGGATGTGCGGTGTGGCGAGACGCCAGCAGGCAGCGGTCAGCTGCTGGCTGGTGGCACAGGCAGGGCCCAGCAGCGGCCCGCGCTGCCCAGCCAGCCAGCCAGCCCGCTGGCAGTCGCTGGCCGCATGGGCGGTGCAGGGGTGGCGCAGCGCGAGGCCAGGCAGGCAGCGCGCACCATGTCCCCGTGATGCACGCCCAGCTGCCGCAGGCTGGCCGAGTTGTCCAGCATGTCGCTGAAGCCGGCCGCATTCTTGGCAGTGAGCTGGACAGGGGGGCGGGGCAGGCAGCGGCGCGGTCTCAGCGGCGGCTCGTCAGAAATGGAGGCGCCCTCCCTGCCGCTCAGCTGGCCCCCTCGGCTGCCTGGTCCTGGCCAGCGGCCGCACGGGCAGCCTGTACTGCATGGGAAGCCAGACTGCGGGCTCGCCCGCCCGTTGGCAGCACCCGCCTGCCCACCCACCAGCTGCGCATTATTGGAGAGCAGCATGTCCGCCAGAGGAACCCCCAGCTTCTGCTGGATGGCCAGCTTCAGCCCCGCCAGCGTGCTGCCGTCCTCCACCTCGATGCGCTCCAGGCCATCCCTGCAGCGGGGCGCAGAAACGGCAGTGGGCTGAGGGGCGCAAGCGGCGGCAGGCAGCAGGGCGGGGGTCAGCACCCGCAGTCCCGCGTGCCGCACGCACCTGGACCTCAACCGCACGATCATAAGGCGACCAACCGCGCGGCGCCTGCCGCCGCTGTGCGCCTAGAAGCCACCAAGCTCCCGCGATCACGGTCAATAGCTTGACGTTGGCGCTGCCTGCTTGCTGGGCAGTCCAGTAGGCGAGGGAATGATCAGAACAAGCATGGAGGGAGGTGTGGCGCCGGAAACCACCATGCTGCTTTGCCTGCTGGGCGGTGGTCGCGGCTCCTGCCGCCTGCGGCTCACCGGCGCGCTGTTTGCATGTGCCGATGTCCGACTGTGCAGAGGTTGTAAGATCAAAACATGGAGCAACATGGTCCTGGATGATCCCTGGAATCAAACCTGACACTAGGAAGGGAGGGCAAAGGGCAACTGTCGAGCAAAGGCTGCGGCCTTCACTGGTGAAGGGCCGGTTCATGCTCAGGGTGTAATTACTGCTGGCTTGCACGCCTGCCTGTGCTCCTGCAGCAGAGCAGCGCAGCGAATCCCACCCATCGGTTGACTGGATGAGGTTGCATGCAGAGGCACGCTTCTCGCCTGCCGCTGCAGCAGGGACACTCGCCTGCCAGTGGGCGCGCTGGCACTGCGCGTCGCAGTAGAGCACCGCCAAGCAGCGGGCGCATCGCACAAAGTTCTTGCCAGCCGGCCTGCTTCGCCTGCAGGCGGCACACTTCTTCCTGCTGGCGGTGGTGGGGGCGGCTTCCTGCCTGCAGCCAGCAAAACAGAGAGCTGTCCACAAGCGGCACGGGTCGTTGCCAGCCTTGACCAGGGCCTGGGCAGCTGTTCCCGCTTACCTGTTGGCAGCCGCTGCTCGCAGCATCTCCAGCGTCGGCGCATGGTTGGGCCTCAGGCTGGCCTGCAGCGCCGCAGTGTCGACGGGGGTCATCCCACGGTTGTCGGGCTCCTCTGGGTTGGCCCCCGCCTCCAGCAGGGCCGCCACGATGCCATCAAAGGGCGTGAGGGGGCCGCCCTGGGCTGCAATGTGGAGCGGGGTGGGCCCCAACTCGCCAAAGTGCTGGCTGGGGTTGGCTCCCTCGGCCAGCAGGCGGCGCACCACCACCGTGGCACCCGCCGTCCTCTCAGCTGCCTCCTTGGCTGCCGAGTCGCCAGCTGTCCACGTGTCGACCTGCCACTGGAGGATCCCCCTGACAGCGGAGCACAGCACGGTCGCTCCATCGCCGGCATGATACTCCAGGTCCTCGCCAGCGCCCGCCGCCAGCAGCTGGTCGACCACCGAAAGGCTGCCGCGCCTGGCGGCGGCATGCAGGCATGTGTGCCCCGTGTTGGTGCGGATGTCCACCTGCCAGCAAGCCAGGATGACATGCAATCAGTTGTGTGGTCATTGCAGGCAAAGGCAGCAACCTGCTGACGTGCAAGGCACCAGGTGCAGCCCACCTGCGCGTTTGCCTTGAGAAGCTCCCGCATCACATCTGCATGGCCTTCCTGCGCTGCCAGGGTACAGGGGGCTGCCCCCATAGCACGTCCTGACCTGCACGTCTGCCCCTGACGCCAGCAGGATTTTGACCACCTCCAGGTGACCTGCATGCCCGCCAATTTCGATTTGGGTCAAAGCCAGGGACCCAGGCAATGTTCCCTCAGCCATCCTGCCAAGCAGTGCAGCAGCCAACGCACCGTTCAGCGGAGTTGTCAGCTCCAAAGTTCTTGGGTCAACATCAGCTCCTGCCGCCAGCAAGCAACGCACCGCACCCGCCTGCCCAGAAAAGGCAGCCTGGTGCAGCGCCCGCCCGCCTATGCTGGTGCTTTTGTTGGGGTCTGCACCAGCTGCCATCATGCAGCTGAGAATCTCAACATGGCCAAGCTCTGCGGCAAAGAATATGGCTTCTGTCCCCAAGTCCGTGTTTGCCCTGACCAGGGCGCGCCCAGCGGGCTGTGACACTAGCCGTTCCACTGCCGCAAGGTCGCCCCGCAAGACCGCGTCATTGAGCTGCTCCGCCACTACTTCTTCTGCTCGGGTAGACATGCCCGACATGCTGCCTGCTGCTGTCCTGCCGAGTCAGCCTGCAAGCAACTCGGAGCCGCAGGTGGGCACGGGAGGGGCGGGGCGGCGGAGAGATGCTCGTCGGCTGGCATTCCCCCGTGCGTGGCTCGCCTTCCTATTTGCCTAATCACTTACTGTAGATGTTTGTCAGCCTCTCGGCGCCCTCCTGCGCAGGGAAGTGGAAGAGACCTGCCCAAGAGGTGCCGCTGCTGCCCCCCGCACTGACGCAAAGTGGCAGCGTTCGTGCGTCTGCACAGCAGCGTGCGATGGGCAAAAGCCCCGGTTGTGTTTGGTGTAGCCGCACTGGCCAGCACCTCGCCCAGCTCACAGAGGGAGATGTAAGCGGCTGAAATGAGGTGCCGCAGCTAGTGGCTGTTAGCAGAAGCCGTTTTGGGCAAAAAATGCTGCCGCCGCGCTGTGAGTGCTGCCGCTGCGGCGGTGGACCACGCCATCGCGCCCCATGCCCTGTCTATTGAATCGTTTGCATACAGTCCTCCCCAGCCGGCTTTGCCATCAGACCTGTCAAGCGCAAGGCAGGCGCGCTGCTGGCCCAACCGGCCACTACCCAGCCGGTAGCCAACCCACCCGCGACGATGCCGGCCCACCAAATACAGTACAGGTGCGCACTCTGTAAGCACTCTTCTGCCTGGCGTTGGGGAGAAGCCCTCCTGCGCGCAGGCCAAGGTGCTATCGCGCGGCCGCCGCCGCCATCACCCTGCTTTCATATGAGCAACTTCCTTGGCCCCTGACTCAGCGAGAAGTATGTCGATGATGTGTACGAGTACAGGCACCTTGCATATGCATCTGCATCTCGTACGAGCCTCCCCCAGGCGCCGCGTGCCCACCAGCCTCAGCCACCTGTCACCAGCTGGGCCGCCGGGCACTCGCCAGATGCCCAGAAATAAGCAGGCTGGCCGCCCCTTGCCTCCCCTTGCGGCCTGCAGGCATGTGCGCCTGCCACCCGACATCGTGCAGCTGGTGCCCAAGGGCCGCCTGATGTCGGAGGTGGGTGCTGCCTCACGACTCCCACGCTGGGTGCTGCTGCGGGGACGGCCGAGCCGCATGAATTGGGCGGGGACGGACAACCCGCACAGCTGCACCGCGCTATGAATACGATTTACCCGGCACTGCGCTATCTGTGCGGTCAGATGGGGCGGCTACTGGCCCTGGCTGAACCCCAAAAGGGTGCAGCGCACTGCCCCTCGTGCCTGCGGTGGCTCTCAGCTGCGCCGCCGCCCACTCTGCGGCCCCTTGCTGCAGGTGGAGTGGCGCGGGATTGGCGTGCAGCAAAGCCGGGGCTGGGTTCGCTTTGCGGTGCACCAGTGAGCCATGCAGGTGGCTGCTACCTTGCTGGGTGGCCTGCCCGCCTGCCCGCGCCTGCCCTCAGCGCCTCCCCATGGCTGACCCTGAGCCCGCTCGTCTTCCCGCCACGCCGCCGCCGCCTGCTGCAGGCCCGAGCCGCACATCCTCATGTCCCGGCGCCCGCTGGATGCGGCGGCGATCCAGGCCCGCTACCAGGCCGCCGCCGCACACCCCATCGGAGGCTACTGAGGCGGCACGACACAGCTTAACGCGCGCCTAAATCCGGCAGCAATTCTGTCGGTAGCTAGTAGTGGGGAGCGGGGCGAGGAGGCCAGCCCAGCAATGGGCACCAGCCGACGGCCTGCAGAAGCAGCACGGCTCCTCGACGCCCGCCCCAGCAGGGGGCGCCAGCTGAAAGACGCCAGCGCCAGGGTGGCAGTTACATGCGGTACCACCATAGGCGGCAGAGAGAGAAGACAAAGTGCACACAAGCGGCAGCAGCCACGCGTTAAATGCGACACGAATGTCAAGTGTTTGGCTGGCCAGAGTGTGATAGCAACACTATGCGCCGCAGGCAGCGGCCCCGCGCCTCACACGGTGGCGGGCCTCTGCGGGCACAGCAGGTTGTAGAAGGAGGATGCCACAAACAGGTCGCCCCCCGCCGCCGCCTTGTCGCCTGGCTGCTTCCAGGCCACCCACTGGCCTGCACGGGCCAGCGAGGCGGGAGAGACAGGCGGGATGGGCGGGCTGGGGATGGGCGGCAGGGGCCGACACGGATGCCCGGTGCCAGCCGCGGTGCTTGCGGGCAAGGCACCGACGGGCCGGCCGGCGAAGCGGGTGCAGGTGCGGGCTGCGGAACAGAGCCGCGCAGGGCAGGCCAGCCCAAGCCTACCCCACCCACCCACCCACCCACCCGCGTGGACCTTCTTCACCTCCTCCCCGCCTGTGTAGTGCGGGTCGAGGATGAGGAAGGAACAGCGCCCGCTCCTCTCCTCGTGCTCGATGCCCAGCAGGGTGTACGCCAGCACGCCGCCGCCAATCATGATGGGGGTGCCTGTAAGGGATGGGGGCGGCGGGGTGGGGAGGGGGCGTGCGTGCGTGTGGAGTGCGA